TTTTTGAGACAAAAGAAATTTATTTTATCCTGCGGCTATTAACAAGGAATGATGTGCACTTCATTCAATGACGTGAATGTTACTGAAAATAGAAAGTTACTTGAACCTGACAGGCCAAAACGTTTTTTACTCAGTTCTTTCATCTAGTGTAGAATCCTTAAGACCGACTTGTATGTCGTCATATATCTTAGAAATTTTTTACTCTTCAAAACATCCTTTATCATCGGTCAATTTCTTCTGTTTTTCTCATCTGAAGAAGTCATATAAAAAATTTTAGCGATGGAAAATAAGGTTTTATTCAGTACGGTTACAGTTTGATAAAATCGCTCCAAATGAATACAATTCCAGTAAAATTGACAAAAAAATTTGCAATCCACACCCACTCCACGCAAGCATGCGATCCGCTGAATATCAAACTACAGTCCTGCTAAAATTTCTAATAATAACTCGTATAATTTATACGAATGTGTTGACAATCATCCAGTAAAAATTTTTGGATTGTGACATCACTGAACAGTGTGAGCGCCCAGCTTTCAAACGTCTCCCTCGGAAGTTTGCTACTGTATAAGTCTATATAACTCTTTATTAATAAATCTGAGGCTTCTTACTTTTTTTCATATGGATATACTTGGAAGTTTATAAGCCCTGAAGACAGACCCAAGGGTGTTGCTTCCAATAACCTCTACGTTTATCGAGTGAATGATTATAATATCTCCTCAATAAAATGTTTCTGTGACAGGGGTAATTATTACACAGTTCAACTTATCCTGAAAGCGAAGATCCCAATCTTTTTTCTACTGGATAAAAGAGTAAGTTTTTAGATACTTTTGCCTTTAGATGTCCTTATATATTTGAGTCTGAAGGATTTAAACAGCCCAGTTACCACAGAAGGAATTAAAAATTACGAAAGAAAGAAAAGTAAATTCATCTCTGTATCACTTCTTCCTTAAAATGACCATGACACATCAATCATATGGTTAATAAACTATATTTGTAAACACAAAATGCATTTGTCTCTTTGCGACAAGGTGGCGGAATTTGTCAATTAATGCCATTAGGACAAGACTGGAAAAATGAAGCATTAATTACAAAACGATCGATGGCGTTTTCAAATAGCCAGCTAACGTCAGTAATAAAAATGAGATCATGCCTGCTGTTTTTGGTCAAACAATTTTATTTGTCAGCCCGATAAGCTGGCACCTCATGTGACAAAAAAAGACAGTTTTTTTGCGTTTGAATTTGAATTTTTTTGGGGGAGGGGGGTCTTCCTGAAAATATATTGAAACATATATATCCTGCGTTAAATCTTGTTTGAGTTTAATTACTGGGCGTATTTGGATCTTCACAGGCAAACAACTCAGACAACTGAAGAACCGAACAGCAGAACTCTTTTAGCCACCAAAAGTTAGGAGACATACAACTGATCAGGAGAGGTGAAAACTTTGAGGTAAGAAAATAAAACTTTTAAATAACAAGAATGATATGGAGGTGAGAGGGGATTTTTCCTACATTATTTCTTAGTTATTTTAGTGATATTCTTACTGTGATCATGACCAGCTTGAGTGCAATATTCCTGTTTATTTCGGCATCACTCTCAGTGTATGTAAAATATTCATGTGTTATATACATGTAATACATATTGTAAAGAGGGCACGTATGTTGTGCTCTCATCCACGACTCTCGCCCTCCTTCCATCCTTCCTTCCTTAGTTTCAGCGGTTAATAGTTCTATCCGGATCCAATCATTGTTTTATTATTTATTCAAAATAATTTCTAGTTTAAGAACATAGCTAAAACATACTTACCGTTTCCTTAATCGATTGTTAATTTCCCGTCTTCAACTGCATATTTCTCGTCAAGTTCTGAAGATTCAATGAATCTACAAATTGCAGATGTCGTCTGAAAAGAAACATTTAACATTGCTTTTCATTTCAGTATTTCTTCATTTTGTTTTTATTTTTTAATTCAATAAAAGCCTTTTACTTTATGTTTCACGTCAATGCATCAATTGTCCAGCTTCTGTTTGTATTTTGACAGTCGTCGCATACACGAACTTGACTTCCTTTTACAGTTAGCATGTTCATCGCTCATGCCACGCTGTTTCATAGAAGTACTTCGATGTATCAATGACCTTGTCCATTCAGAAAAAAAAGAAAAGTCCTATTTCTGTTTTCCGTGTTGCACGGTTTTGATAATGTTTTCAGCTAGAGTGATTGGATTGCGTTCACTGGAAAGTGATGTTTTTTACAATTCTTGACCGGCGGAAAAATGCAAAAATTTTCTCCATCAGTGACATTTGCTATATAAATAATAAAGAACGAAAAATATCGGTTGTTGCATGGACGCTACCGGACACAGAAGAACACCGACTGATCATAGCGACAAGACGCAAGCTTAGCAGACTTTCCCTTCGCCTAACGAGAGACTTTTTTTTTATGAACACATACCCATGATGTAGATTATTTATAACTAGTATTTATGTTAACCTTGATGGCCATGAGTTTCTCTATTCTCTGGTCAGTTTCGACCGGTCCATTCTTTATTTATTTACTCTATTTGTTTGTTTATCTATATTATAATTATTTTCTCCCCAAAACGACGATATATTTTATGTAATAAGAAATTCTATTTTTTTTATTGATTGAAATATTTCTGAAACTTGAACTAGAATCAAACTTAAACAACTGAGCAAAATGCTGCTCGGATCTTTCTCTGAAAAAAAAAAAATGCATTGTTTTGAGGGGAATGAAGTTTTTTTTTTCAGTAAAACAACCGTGTCATAGCTGGAACAAGTTCAAATTTCATTTTATCCATGTTTTCTCAGGAAATATATTCAAAATTTTATGTGGTATTCACGACTTACAAAAATGCAAAAATAAAAAAAAAACTTCTTGAAAGATATAGTGTAGAGAAGTATTTTTAAGACTGCAGCTTAATTGGCTTCTATTTTTCAATTTTTTTTTTCTAACTCTCGGTCTTCGCGGTCTCCCAGAAAGCTTGAACAGACTTTTTAAAATTGACTTTGTTTGATCAAATAAACGGCAGGGTGATCTGCGAACGGACTATATAATTCCCTGGGGCACTTCTTTATAATAGTCTGTCTCCGTCTCCGGGGAACTCCTCTATTGAAGTTTCTTATAGGATCGTACAATTGCGTAGATCAGTTGCATAGATAATTAACGTTATTGTCTGCAAATAGGAGAGAGATTTTATCCCAAGTTTTTACCCTGACCAGGGTAATGCATATATGGGAAATAGGGTAAGGGATTTAATAGCCTGAGATCATGCCCTCTCCCTATTATCCCTTTATGGCTCTGACGGGAAGAGGGCATGATACATTTCTTTGTCGGATCACATGTAAAAATGCCAGAATCTGGACTTTTTTCTGATTGGATAGGAAACAATGCGGATGATTTGCGCTGTTCCGATTGGCCAAAATGACGCCATCCGTTAGTTGTTGTTGATTTCAGTCTGCATTTTTGCTTGCGTGATAAGCAGTGAATACACACGCGAGTTCGTTATGAAATTTCTGCCCGCTCAGTTTTCTTGAATTTGAAGAATGCCTAAATAGAAGTTTCATCCATTGAAATATTTACCATCTCATCGTATACCAAAACAGTTGCAGTCAAAACTTCACCGATCATTTGAATGCAATTTGATACCGGCTACAAGTTACAGAAGCGACAAACGGGTTCACTTTTCAAATAATCAATTCATGAATGGAATCTTGACCTGGTTTGACTGTATTTCCTCCTTCAGAAATCATGCTGCGAATTATTCTGAGCGATCTTCGCTTTCACAACACCTTTCAGTTCGTGAAATATGGTGCTTCAGCCTAATTTTTTTCCCACTGCTTTCGTAGTACAGAACGAAGTCAACGAGCTTTAACCAGTAAATTCTTTATTATTTGTAGCTATTCACAAAGGTACGACAGCTCCAGCTAGCAGTATTTCATCACAAAAACAACACATTAATTTTTTTTTTTTACGAAGCGCCATCTGAACACGGACGTACTTAAAAATTTTTTTTCCCCTAAAACTGATTTCAAATGAGACATTATTCGCGCCAAAATTTGATTCCCGTTTGGTAAACGCTTATTGGCTAAAAACATGACAGGTCAAGCAAACGTTAGATTATGTAAATTAGGGGGCGGTTGACTGCTTGTTAAATAAATGTATCAGGCGTTATTTTTTTTTCCCTCTCGAGCCAAAGAAGCAAAAAAAAAAAAAAAAAAAAAAAGACGCCTGATCTCAGGTTAGGGATTTAAGGAATTATGCACCGTGGCATCACCGGCATTTTCCAGTACGCTTTGAAAGATTGAACTAGCATAATTTTTGGCACAATTAGTCGCAAGGAGCATAATTTTCATCTATTTTTCGAAAAAAAGAGCACTGCTAGCATGATTTGAACTTTTTGGTATAATTTTGCAGTACAAAATTGTCATTTATTGAACATGCAACCAATGTTTTTGGTCCGAGATCTGTGTTACAGGCAAATCTAAGTAACGAATTCATTTATTTGTCTGTGGTTACCTGGGGTAGCGTCCGCGTGTTGGTTGTTTATTGTTAGAGTTTTTATACTTGTCAGACAATGAATTAAGGACTCTTAAAGTTTCTTGATGTAAACAGGGTAAATGTGTTTGTCATTTACTTGTAAATGAAGCATTGAGGTGTTTTTTTTTTTACAAATTTAAAAAGTGAGAAGCATAATTTCGGCCTTTTTTTTTTTTGCTGAAACGAGCTTAATAATTTACAAAAACTAGCAGAATTATTGGCATAATTTTAGAAATATACGAGCCCTGCAAGTAGCATATCATGCTACTTTTGCGAGAACAATCTATCAAAGCCTATTTCCCAAGGGTATTCCCCTTCCTCTCCCCCCCCCCGCTTACTCGTAGTTATTAAAATTTGCGTGCGTAACTCTTTAACACCCGCGAAATAAATTCAGTGACATGCTATGAACCATGATTATTTTGTTTCAACAGGTTGGAAGATGGCAGGCATGAAAACATTATTCATTATTTTCGTTATCATGTTCCCAGTCGCGATGATAACAGAGGAAGATGTAAATCATGGAGGTAATAACTACCACAAAAATTTAATTGCGCACCTGCGGATTGTCGCCATTTTATTTCAACATCCTGTCTTGCTTCATGTACAGAAAGCCGCTTAAAATTTTCATTTTTACACGTTCCCTAAAACATCATTCGCAGGATTCATTCACCATAATTTTTACATCGTCCATAAGATTTGCATGAGAATTGTTTTCAATTTTTCCTGTAAGTAAGCGGTCATCATAAGAGAAATTGAAGACAATAACGTATGCACGATTCTTGGGGGTGAACAAGGTATTTTACTCCCTCTGGTGTTGGCCCCTGTCATTGTCCAGTCATTTGACTTTAACTATGCTCTCTATAAGGCGGAAACCTCTCTAAGAAGGACAAGGGACACTTTCAAAACCGTTAACGGTCCCTTGAGAAATGCTTTAGGTAATGAAAAATACCGCAAAACGGAAATGCAGGTGCACTACATGACAAGTAATTGCAATTAGGATAAGCAAATTACATACTCATCCAAATACAGTACGCGTCTTCTTACAGCTCGTATCTTCTAAACACCTCATGGAGAACCTCTTAACCTGTGAAACAGCTATCTTCTCCGTCTTTTAGCTGAACTCTTTGATCCTAATGGGAACTTCAAATGGTGATATCAAAAACAAACCATTATAACGAATTAATTTTCATAAGCTTAAATTAAGTACTTACAGTGATGTACTGTAGAACCCCGGCAACTCGAACACTGAGGGGAAACGAAAAACAGTTCGAGTTAGCGAGTTATCGGGGTCGATTGAAAAATTCAATTTACCATGTTGCAGTTTTTTTTTTTGGTCAAGGAAAAGGAATTTTAGTTCGAGTTGGCGAGGAATTCTAGTTTTCCGAGTTCGAGTTGACTGAGTGAAAATGACTAGAAAGTGGGGTGAAATCCAAGAGAAATTGGACTTACTTTGAGTTAATGATCGAGGAGTTCGAGTTATCGGGGTTCTACTGTATCACTATTTGTTTTGTTTGAGTATAAACTGTTGTTAAAAGAAGCAAATACTGAATTTTTATCACTTTGTAGCCTTGTTCCGATTCCACCTTTCCACTACATTGATTCGGTTTTTTTGATTGTTTTGCACGAGTAAAATATATGTGGACTGTATTTTTTGCGAATGAGTTTAGCTTTATTTTCTTGTAATTACTGGCGTCATCTTACTTTGACTCTCTATTACCGGGACACCTCTCTTTAATAGACGGAGAGTTATTATTATTATTATTATTATTATTATTATCACTATTATTTTATCGTCATTTTTCTATTGTTGTTATTATTTATTATTATTAGATAATAATTTATTTTAATTGTTATATTAATTTATTATTGTTTTGCACGATTGATAAAATATTGTTAGCTTACAAATTTAAATTTACTGTTCATATGTGTTGCTGGTTTGCAGTTTGTCCTGTTCCAATGACAAAAGAGGAAGAGGAGTTTATTAAAGAGCGGGAAAGGAACAGAGAGTTAATGGAAGAAATCGCCAGAGAAATTGGAATGACCTGCTTAGGTAAGTTAAAAAATGAAAAAGAAAAAAAAAACCGTAATAATAAAAACCTCGGATGAGAAAGTCCTTCGGCGCGAATTGCATGCCCTTTTGAATAGTTGAACCCTTTGGGGCAGTTGGGAGTGTTCCAAATGGAACAATGTAGAGTTTGCATTTCTAAAGCCACTTTGACTTACCCTTTTAGTTTAAGCCATTTAGTTGATAAGCAGCGAATCAAGGAAGTTATACATACATACACTGTATGTCTACAGGTAGTCATTTCGACTCCTGAAGGAGGATCATAAGGTTACAAGATCGATATATCTCTTTACAGATAACCCACCCAGCCCGGGAGAGGTTGGGCACACCACGGGGTCAACGTCCCTTACTCTTACTCGTACCAGATAAGTGAAAGTGCTGTGAGATGGGACCACCGGGTTTTCGTCCTTATATCCTAGAAGTCTCAAGAAAGTCTAACCGTTTGCAGATGTCATTACAAAGGCAGCACTTGCTTCTCAGTAATTTAAAGAGCCTGAGTTTTTTTCCGGTCGGGGTTTGAACCCGCGACCTCCAGCTCAGCAGACCAGCGCTCTCCTGGCTGAGTAACCTGAGATCAGGCGTTATTTTTTTTTTTGCTTCTTTGGTTCGAAAGGGAAAAAAATAACGCCTGATACATTTATTTAACAAGCAGTCAACCGCCCCCTAATTTACATAATCTAACGTCTTCTTGACCTGCCATGTTTTTAGCCAATAAGCGTTTACTATACGGGAATCAAATTTTGGCGCGAATAATTTTTTGAAATCAATTTTATGGAAAAGAAAATGTTTAAGTACGTCCATGTTTAGATGGTGCTTCCAAAAAAAAAAATTAATGTGTTGTTTTTTTGATGAAATACTGCTAGCTGGAGCTGCCGTACCTTAATTTAACAGCTACAAATAGTAAAGAGTTTACTGGTTAAAGCTCGTTGACTTCGTTCTTTGCCGAAAGCGGTGAAAAAAAAAAGTTAGGCTGAAGCACCATATTTCACGAACAGAAAGGTGTTGTGAAAGCGAAGATCGCTCAAAATAATGCGCAGCATGATTTCTGAAGGAGGAATTACAGTCAAACCAGGCCCCAGTTGTTCGAAAGGTGGATAGCTCTATCCACCGTATAAATCACTATCCACTGGATAGCGTAATTGGTTTCCCTAATAGTTATCCACTGGATAGAGATTTATCCGGTGGATAGCGCTATCCAGCTTTTGAACAACTGGGGCCTGGCCAAGATTCCATTCATGAATTGATTATTTGAAAAGTGTCGCTTCTGTAACTTGTAGCCGCTATCAAATTGCATTCAAATGATCGGTGAAGTTTTGCCTGCAACTATTTTAGTATACGATGAGATGTTGCGTAAGTTCACTCTTAGTGAACTTAATTACGCAACCGGACGGGAGAGGAAAGAAGAAGGCAAACCTTGTGTTACAAGCGTGAAAATAATTTTGTTTGAAACAACTTTTCGCCAAACTTCACTCTCCTTTAAATGGATTTGTTTTGTAAAGACAGTAAACGTTAAAGTTAGGTGAATATCACGACAAAACACGTACGTAATAGTCTGTCACTTCTGTCATCCACAAGCGTTTTGGCGTCTTCTTCTTCCTGCCATCCTGTTACGTAAACTCACAATTATCCCGCACGGAGGTCAGTCCAAAAGCACGCCAAATACTAAGGCCAGAAGTTCAATTTCACTTGCATAGCAACCACGTAGCCTAGCAACACGATACGTCAAGGGGCCCTAAGGGATGCAACGTTTCTTGATTGGAGTATTGAGACCAACGTTTTCTCAATAGGATTCTTGTTGAAAGTACGTCAACAAATACATATTTTTCATAGTTTATAATTTTTTGAACCGGGAGATCATGATCTCAGTTGTTTGAGCTCAAACATTGTTGCAAATATAAATAATCAAAACAACTGTCAAGCTGGCTTAAAGTGTGAAAACTAACTTTACAGGTAAAGGAAGAAAGAAATTCTTATAAGTAACTTCTACTTGTTGATTTGTAGACGAGTGTGAAACAGGACTACATAACTGCCACGATGATGCATACTGCACCAACACCAAGCGTTCCTTCACGTGTACTTGCAAACCAGGATATTCTGGGGATGGTGTCAACTGTGCAGGTAACAAACTTACATACGCAGCGTGAACTTACAGGATCTAAACTTTAGATGTATCCCGTCGCAGCAGAAATAAGAAATAAGCCAATAAGAAAGCTGCAAACTGGTTTCGTGTTTATCTCAGCGACATGTTGTTATAAGTAGCATGAAACAAAATAAACAAAATAAGTGCTCCTTGCCATTGAATTTGTTTTGGAAAAATTAATTCAAGCGTAGAACATTTCAGGGTTACCGTTCGAATGTATTGCACTACTATCCCTCATTCGTTAGGAATAAAAATCGAACTTGGTCAGTCTGATAATTTAGCCTTATTCATTTCCAGAAGTAGACGAGTGTAATACAGAAAAACACCAATGTGATGAAGCTATTTCAGTGTGCGTTAACACTAAAGGATCCTTCGCGTGTCACTGTCACAAAGGGTATATTAAAAGTGGACAACATAAATGTACAGGTAACTCCCACTTTAAGATCTCTTAATTGAAAACTAAATCAGTTTTTTGATTCAGTGCCTGACTTTTGAATTGCAGATGAAAATGAGTGTGAAGCAGGAAAGCACAACTGTCATGCTAACGCTATTTGCAAAAACACTAAAGGATCCTTTGAGTGCACCTGCAAGCCAGGGTATTCTGGGGATGGAGTCAACTGCACAGGTGAAAACAATACCTCGGTCTTCTTTATAATGAATTTTTTTCTAATCAACTCCATTTATCTCGCCTTAAAGCCAAGTTCAGCCACAAGGTAGCATGCAGCTTAGTCTGTAGAGCTGCAGTTTGTTCTTTTAAGCTGGATAATATGTATCGAAATGCCCTTGCATGGTGCTATAGTTTGTGATTTGCAGTATCTGTATGCGACTTTAGCCTTATACATGCTTGAGATATTTACGTTTTTTGATGTATTATTATATTGTGTCCCTACAAGATTGTCATGTCCGCACACGCATTCACGCTGGGTGAGCTTACTACATTTAATCATATCAGATCAGTGTCACACAATTCCGTCTTTAGAGAATCAGCGGAAACGTTTCTTTTTTGTTCCTCCTTCTGTTGGCAATTTGTCTTCAGAGTGGAAGTCATTCTGCACTCTTGCTTTCTTAGGTTTCGCTAATCCTCTATCTATACACGTGATGTCATTTCTGAATTTCTCATCTGCTCAATATATAGCAAAAATGTTTTTTCGTTTCAGTATAGCCAGAAATCTCTCGCTCCCTCTCTCTTCTAATCGTACCCAATCCTAGAAAATAAAAGGTTAAGTAAATCAGTTTTGATGATTTAGTCCTACGCCTGATTTACAGAGGTAAACGAGTGTATAACAGGAGAGCACAACTGTGACGCGGATGCAACATGCAAAAACACTGAAGGATCTTTTGAATGTACTTGTAAACCAGGGTATTCTGGGAACGGAGTTAACTGCACAGGTGATTATATTTCAGTAAAGACCTAGATCGTCTTAATGTTAAGGCTATTTCAGTATCATTTTGTCTCGAGTTCACGCGTTTGAGTCAGTAGAATCAATAAGAGGCATTTCCAAATGTACAAGTAAGAGTTTGAAGTCTAGCCTCATCGTCAAAGTGATCGTTGTCATAATAATTAGCAATTTCTGAATGAGGCTAGTAGAATGTGAAGAATTATGTAGAGCGAAAAGGATGTTGTCCTCAATCTTGCGGGTGACTCAATCCAGCTCGATCGAAGTTTAATACATCTGATCAATCCTCTGAAAGTTTACTCCCAGTAGAGATAGATAGATAGGCTTTATTAGTAAAATAAATCACATTGCAGCCGGCAGGCCCGGAATTGTTTAATTATTTACAATACTATAAATAAATAATGGTAAAAGACTAATTACAATTTTGTTAATTAGGAATAATGATAATGAAGAACTGAAAAAGAAAAGAAAAATAACGTAATAACACATAAACTGACATTATAACATTATAATAACATGTTTGCGCCACCGAAATAGCTTGTTCCAACGACTTTTTGAAGCGGGGGAAGTCGTAAACTCTCTCATGCCTGGTGTTGTACTAGCCTTGGTGTTTCGGAGGAAGCAGGCAAGCGAGTTTGTGCTGATCCGAGGATATACTATTAAACAGCTTAATACACTGATCGTTACGCCTATCATATAAAGTGCTGAGACAAAAACTTACTAAACCGTGTTTGCATGGTTTATCAGGCGCTATTATGGAAAGCGCTCTTTTTTGTACGAGCTCACTTAGATAGTCGGGTAGGCAATGGTGGAAAATGAGCGAGCAATATTCTAGTACGGGTCTTATTACTGTGCAGTAGCAATTGACAATATCCTTCCAGCTTACACCGGCTCTCCTTAGCAGAACCAAAAAATACAAACCCTTATTTGCTTCCTCAATAGTTTCATTTATATAAACGTTCCACTTGAGATTGTTAGACAGAGTTATACCTAAATATTGGCACTATTTAAAACAGATAGTTCCTTCTCATCGACCACAACAGGGGGTGGAGAAGAGTCATTGTCATTGTTGCATTTGTCAGCGTTGAGTTGCGAACATTCTCACCTGACCAGTCCTCGACGGCACTAACTGTGCTTTAAATGTCACCCTGTGCACCTTGCGAGAAAAACTCAGTAATAGAAGTATCATCAACGTACTGCCATTTGTCCACACTGGGAACCCTGAGGAAAATAACCATGCGCCTAAATTGGTTCCTTGAGGCACACCAGCGGGCAGGGGGCCGCACGCAGAAATACATTTTCCTGACAACTTAACGCGTTGTTATCTATGTGTTGCGAAGTCGGCCACCCAGAAGGCAACAGCGCGAGGGATAGATAGGCCGAAGCCTTTGCGCACAAGCAGTGTGTGGTCGATGAGATCGAAGGCCTTCCTACAATCGAACAGGATGACTCTCACAGCAGCCCCAGACCCGTCGGTGGCTTGCAACCGGGTATGTAGCATGGACGTTAGGGCGTGTAAGGTAGAGGACGCCGGGATGCCACGACACTGATTTGGATCAATCACCTCCAGAACCGCGGGGCCGACATGGAGAGCGACGATAAAGTCCTATGCAAATTTAGATATTTCGGGGGTTAGGAAGATCGAACGAAGATGTTTGTTGATGTCGGATTTTAGCTTGGGGGCAGGCACCATATCGGCTATCATGAAGGATGATAGACGTCCCTGCTCCGCGAAACCGCTGTTTAGCACAGCTGTAACTGGTCTAGCAAGGATGTCTGCATACTCATTCTACAATCAGTTGGGTGCCCCATCGGGCCTTCTTAGGGTTAAGCCTTTTACAGGGGATTAAACGGCGGGCTCGGAAAGGGTCAGCTGTGACAAATCCTTACTGTGCGATGGGAAGGATTCAAGCCTTGAAAGGACTCTATTGGTTGTAGAAATGCAGAGTTGATTTGGTTGGAAATCTCTTGCTCAGACAGAAGAGCGGAACCCTCGATCTTTAAGTTGGCAAACAAGGAGTCTGAGCCAGGAGCGAGAGCCATGTCAGCGATCTACTTGACCGCACTCCACCAATGGCTAGGCCTGGTTTGCCTTAGGTGGTTTACTTTCGAAGCGTAGTAGTTGTTACGGAGAACTTTACGCATGCGATTGACGACATATGGGTAGTGTTCGCAAAAGTTGAGTGTCCCCAGTACTAAATGCCCGTTGGCGGAGATTTATAAGATGTTCGAATTCAGGTGACACCCATGGGGGGTCAAATACATGGACTCTGGACTACTTAATAAGCATGATGAAATCAAGACCGGTCAAGATGAAGTCCGTAAGTAGCTGTAGCTTGTCCGCACAGTTATTGGCCAGATCCACAAGCGACCAGTCGATAGTGCAAAAGGTAACCGCCAAGCTCAAGCTTCTTGCTCGCCAGCGTGTGACTTCTCGAGATTTGTTTCCTACTCAGCCTTCCGCGGGTAGCTCTCGTTTTATGATTTAAGTTGACAACGTTATGATCAGACAAACCAAACGGTGATAAGATTTGTACAGAATTTTTATCGTACAACTGAGGCAATTTGGTTATTAGGGTTGTCTACAATTTGTCTTAACTTGAATTGAAATGTAAGGCGTCTGTTTAAGTCGCCACACTGCCGCAGCTTAAAAATTGAGCTCCAACAAGAGAGAATGTAATAGTTATTTTTAATTCTATTTAAAGTTCGAGCGCGTGTTGCGAAGGTATATTTTTGTATGCTGTTTCTGTGACCCACGTGGTCTACTTTCACGTGAACGTGACATGTTTCGCCGCCAAACATTTGAATTTTGACAGCCGTTTAGCAATTGGCGCACCATAGGTTCTTAAAAGTTGTTGACATATTTTTCATCAGCGCGTTCTGCTCATTATTTTGGAGTGCATTTCATTTAGGACGGATTATTGCAGTATTGGAGTCAAAATTTAACTTTGTCATTTAAGATTGAGATTTTCTAACGACCGATAGCCTCATTCAAAAACTGTATTACGTCTTCTTAACTTCTAATACTTGCGATGAATATTTTCACTGTGGGAAAATAAATCAGGTCACGATGCTTCAAACAGTCGCTACATTGGGTGCCAGAGACTTTTCATACTCGGTTTCGGGTTTCTGTCATGTCTTTATAGTGACCGGCCTACATTGCACTTGCTTAGATTACATTCGTCTAACGCGTTCAAAATTCAAATGTTTGGCGACCAAAACTGTCATGTTAGAACGCACTTAGAACGTATTTCTCGTTACTTGTCCACGTTTAAATCCAAACGTTGCTTGGACGTTGCTGGAAGAGACAGTTGTCGCTTACAACTGTATTCTCAAGGTTGTTTAATATATAGTGTTATAGCGAAGACCACAATGAATAATTTCTCCGGCGATTCCCGCAAGCCAAGACCATTTTGCTCGTTCGCAGCTACTCTGGCCAGATTTTTCCACGTAGAAATCTTCTAACTTGTCTACGAAAGTAATGACCAAGTTCCCATGTCGCATCGCTTGCTGTGCGTAATCGGCAGTGAAATGAATTCCCCGTCAAGTTAAAAATTACATGACGCCATTCTAACAGACCAATGAGGTGGAGTCCTTAAAATAACCACGCAGTATGACGCAGAACCAAAAATAAATTGAAAATAATTTTCATGGAAAGAGGGTCATGTGTGAGGGATTCGATCCGTCAGATCATTCTCTCTTGCTTCCAATCGATGTTAGAGTTGTCTATAGATGGTTAAGCTTAGCCATGTCGTTGACAGTTTGGGAGTGGTATACAGTGCCAGCAATCAGACAAGTGATTCCACGCCGTCTGCTGCAGTCATGTCCACGTTGTTTCAAAATCAGGATCTTGTAAATAGTCCAGGGACTTGAACTTGATGCTGTTTTTAGTATACAAGCCGACTCCACCGTGATGGTCTGAAGTACGGTTCCTTGCAGTGAAATGGTACCCTGGGATGTGGGGGTAGTTTTCGATGATAGAGTCTCTTAGCCAAGTCTCAGTGAAAAACGCTAAATCAGGGTTTACATCCGAAATCACACATTTCACTTCGTCGATCTTTGGAGTAAGAGACATGCTGTTGGCCAGGAGTAGACTAAAACCGTATTCGTTGAGTTTTTTTGTGATCGTGGGCCCGGTTTCAATCGGTGACAAGTTTCGAGGAGTTTCGTCCACTTGCGTTGGAAGCTCGCGGGCGATTCCGAGATAAAACCACCGGGATGGATCGTTTGTTTACGTTGCAAGCGCAAGAGGTGTCACCTTTTTTAATAAGAAAAAGGGAGCAGAAGCAAAATAGCTTCATCTTGTAGATTTTTCCTTAC